GACTGATGGTCCCGAGGCGGGGCGAACGATCACGGCCCAGGACGGAATCAATGGGGGAACTAATTAGCCGCCTGATAAAATCTCATTTCCTGTTCCGAGCAACGATTCGCGACCGCCTCGGGTTTCCTCGTTTATTATTTTCCGTGAATATCGCTCGTGTAGCATACCGTAAATTCTTATAATTTTACAATAGGCCTATACAAGAATCGTCTAATCCTAGAGCCATAGTGCGTGTGTTTGAGTTTTCGCGCGCGGGTCACTTTTTTTTTATTATACATATGCAAGCGATTCGATGCAGCAGGTAAAGGTTTTTAGAGAGTGTTTGTTTGTTCGCTTTTTTATGTGGAAATACACGTGAGCGGAATTTCGTTCTTCCCGTCCTTCCCGAAAAACAAAGAAGTGACTTTTCATATAAATGTAATATTTTATGCAGGGGAGAGATTGTTGGAAAGTTTTTTTTAATAAGAACGTGCGGTTTGAAGAAGAAACGAGGGAGCTTGCCAAGTGATGGAAAATCAATAAGAACCGGACATGATATTTATAAATAGTTGATTGATTCGCGGAGAAATTTGCTTTAGAAAATAAACAATGCAGTCGTCCAAACTAATTGAACTGAAAATTATGGCAATACTACGAAACGCGCGTTTGATGAAAAATTTTGAAGCGGTTAAAAATTTAAAAGATTACGTTACGCGCGCGAATCGTCAGGCTTTTTTTAGGTTTGAGCTGCTTGTGAAAATTTTGAAGGAACGATTGTATTTTGAATATCTGTGTGTGCTCTCACTGTGATAAATGTGTGAAAATTGTGGCAATCATAAAAAGTTTGGAAAAATGCGCTTCTGTCATTCAGCAGTGATTTTTTTACAACCCGTATAACGTCCGTACTTTGTGTTGCTGAGAATCCCGTTGGTTTTCATTTATAGTATAATTTAAATTGAATCAAGGCGCAATTGATGTGAAAAGGATATTCGCATTTAATTATACGTACTTGAGTGTTTTTAATGCAAAACGGCAATCAAAAGAGAGTTTGAAAAGCGGCAGCTTGAGTTTTGTTGACGAGTGAGCTATACTTTTCTTTTAAATTCCTCAGCGGAGAGATGAGAAAAGAGAGAGTTCAAGAGAGGGATACGTTATTTTGTCGCTTTTTATACACATTTCCTCCTTGTCTTTTTGTGCTTGAGTGTGTGTTTTTTTCGTTCGCAATTATATATGTTTATGAATTCGTCGGCTAATTATGATAGTTGAGAATATTTTTGCGTTTTATTACAACAACTTCATCCTTTTCATTTTGTGTTTTTCTTAATGATTATACTCTTACTATTATACTTAATAGGATATGTTTTATTTCTGATATGCAGCGGTGTTTTTAGATAATACAAGGCATGATGTATTTTTCACCACCAGTTGCGCAACAACAAACCAGTTTGCAGCACCTTCGGATATCACTAAGAGCTGTCTCGAGGTTTTCTTTTGCTTAAATTTTGAAACCAATTTTCCAAATTTCGAGTATTTGCGTGTGTGTATATAGGAAAGTGGTGTGCTAAGAAAAGTCTACTTACTCTATAGAAATGAGCAGATTTGAGTTGGCTTTGTCATGCAACTGGTGAGTGATCACTCCCACTCCCACCAATAGTTTATTTAGTTCTACATGCACAATAAAATCCTACGAGTGTTGTTTTTGTTTTGCTTTTTTATGCACAATCAAATCTGTTTAGAATCCAAACTCATTGCCAAAGTGATTTCAACTCCTGACGGTTTTTGCGATTTGAACTGAAAATATTCCGACTGCACGCCGAAAGAAAAAGTCCCGAGTATTTAAGAAAACAAAGTTTAAAAACAGATATAAGACTTTTTAAGAGTGACAGCTTCCTGTACCGAAAAGGCCCTATTTGCATCCGTGTCGATATCTAGTGCAAAATTTGTCTTTTTCCCCCAGCAATTCAGCAAAATATAGAATATCTGAGTTTCATTTTTTGAGAGAGTGTGACAAAATAACGCGTCGTCATCTGAGAGTGAGAAATATTAAAATAAAAATAGAGATTTAAAGCCTGGTACCGTTTTGGATTTTCTTACTCCTGAAGACGATAATTTTTGTATTTTGTATGACGACAAAAAGCTTTTTACTTCTGTCAAACGCTGAAGAGAATCTCTCTCTATACACACTTCTTCGTCTTTAAAATTATATGACCGTACTGAGCTGTATAATTACTTGACCCAATTTGAATTCTATATTATTTCATTTCCTGCTCGCGGATATTTTTAAAACGATTTTCAGCTGGCGATCTTCTTACTACAAAATTCCACCTCGAACTCCAATCTTTCTTAATCGTCTCCGTCCACAATTCTTGAAACCTGCAACAGAACGAAAAAGGGCTGCTTGAATTTGTCTTGGGGCCGACAGGTGGGCTTTTACGGGAATAAAACATTCAAACGTAGTCTTTTCACTTGTGAGAACACACAAAGCCGGGCGCGTGCAGCTTAGCTTTGATTTCGGCAGCAGCGAATCCATTTACAAATCATAAATAATTTAGACGGTAGCTAAAAGCCAAGTTTGTCTTTAGCCAACTATCCCGCTACTGAACACGTCAATATCTTTTCAAGGTTTAAATAACCCCTTTTAGCCGCAGCTCCATAGCTTTGTTTAAAGTCAAAAAGATCAAAAAATTAAGAAAAGAAAACATTATCTACTATTTTTGTGAAACCCATTAATTATTGATTATTGTTTATACTTAAAGGGTATGAAAACTAACAGACTTCACAGTTTTTTGAAGTAGAAATATAGAAATTCATCCTGGTTGATATCTGTGTAAGGATTGTTAATGCCAATTTATTGAGAAATGTTTTTTTTTTTTGCCAAATGGTGAAAGATATAAATAAAAAATATGAAGGCCTCGTACAATAACATTATTACTGTACATTTTATTATTTGGTGCAACTTAGGTTTCAATTTCATTTATTTTTATTTGTTACTATTACGTTCTTTAATTAAGACGCGAGTTAAATTTTTAACATCAAGCAGTTATTCCAAAGTTTGAAAAATTTTAAACAAGAGAGCCTTGAAAGTAAAAGAACAATCACAATCAGGCAGAAATTTTTGAATGATTTGAAATACATATTTCAAGAAAAAAAGTCTTGGTCAAAAACTGACCAGTAAGAATTTCCAAATTTTACAAAGTGGAAGCAATTGTTTTTAATGGTCTTAATGTTATTATTTATTGTTATGCAATAGTTCATGGTATAAAAGTCTTATTCAATTTATAATATATTCTGTAAACAACAAAAGGACTTTTGTGAAATGTCATACGAATTTTGTTGATGTTGAGGTAAATATTAATAAATTTATGGACATATATCTTCTAAGTTTCTGTACTTGAAAAAATCAACGCCTTTTTTCGGCGAAATGATTTTTTCATATTTAAAGTCAGCGATAGGGAAAAATATCATGTTTGAAATTCAATTAAACTTGTCTCGATTGTGAAATTCTTCTACTTTTAGTCAAATTAGCTAGCAATAATAAGGTGAGCAAATCTAAAAATTCTGCACTACTTTGCACCAACAGTTGTGTCTGTGAGAGATAAATAAAATCTGGTCTTGCGACTGTTCCAACTGAACTGGAAAACGCGTCCCTGATTGTACAAGTCTGACAATCGTGGCAGGCAAGTGTTTCACAGACCGCCAAACAGCCAATTCAAAAAGTCATCTCGCCGAGCGGAGGGTTTTGGCATTTAAATTAAACGAGAGACGCTGCTTTTCAGAGAGGCGGGCAAAGTTTTGTTTTTCCAACTATGGCCTCGGCGCTGGCGCGAGTCATTCATTTGTAAAGGGCACGATTGACGCAAAAAATGAGTGACTGACATGAGCATACGCTCTCGGGACCATACACATTACATTTTTAGAAGGCAGAGCGGCGGCCCTCGAGAATAATTGATGTAAACTTTAACCTTTGGCGCGCGCGGAGCTGCGTTGGTTGATTGGAGGGCTTGCAGGCAGCCAGGCTAAATGAATTTGGCGAGCGAAAGCCAGTCAGCCAGCCGACTCTGCGAATCCGAGAGAGGGTGCTTAACGCTTGAATGCATTGCCGAGCCAAGTGCACTCGATCTCGCAGGCCTTTGTGTGTTCCGCTGACTTTTTCATCGCAAACCAAACGTCGCAGCCGGCTGTTTTTCCAAACTGGCGGCCGCTTTTCAGCCAATCGGCTTTTCACCGCGGATCTGCGCCACGTGGCAACAGGATTATAAATATCTATATATATATAAAAAAAAATAATGATAAAACAGCAACCTACTTCTGATAATGAGCTCCAGTCGACCCGGTTCATAAAAAGCGCAATGCTGAATCAAAAGATTAAAACCGTTGAATGGTTTTGCAACATTCAAAAGGCAGCACTACACCAATAAATTATTCAAATTGTTTTCTAATTTTTATAATTTGCTGTTAAGTTAATATTTTAAATTTGTAAAATTTATCATAAATTAATATTTTTAACTTGAATTTTTATAATTAATTTAAAATGAGATTGGTGTAAAAATGAAACTAAAGGTAAATTTTGCGCTTGGCAATATGTAAATGATATAAATTTACTTTTAACCTTGCCATCAATAATTCACAAGTCGATCTGACTAAGAGGTTGAATAAATTGAGTGTAGGATAATTATAATATCAGAATTACTTCAAATTAATTCTTCCCTTACCAGGACCTTTCTTTTTTTTTATCAAAGGAAAGTGGGTTCTGACGTTTGTTAACGTTTAAAATTTATAATATTTCCGTCTGTTAAGCCTAAGTGGAACCAAAAAGGAAGAATATATTCAGTAGTTCAATGTATAAGCACCCATTTAAAACTGCACTAAAAAAGTGATATTCTTAACTACATTTGCGTTTTACTGCAAAAAATTGACGCAATTTACTGATAAATCAAGTAAAAAAGATTTTCACTCACCAATGATTTCCTTCCTGCCAGTTGACATCAACTATGCAAAGCATTTTCTCTAAAAATTTAGAACAACTGATGCGCTGCACTTAACGTCAGTCTTCATTACAGCCGTCAAAATAACTTTTTCTTCCCTTCTTCAGATACCGTCCTTTTCGCTGGGGTAGGGGGCGAATCCAATATAAAAAGCACATCTAACACTGGTAATGCGCCACTTTTGATCCATCTTCGTGCTCCACCGGGGGTTCCTCCAGCGGCAGCAGTTTCAAATATAAATTGTCATCCTCTCTCTCATTTCTCAATAGACTTTGTTAAATATAATATCTTTGATTACACATTTTTTTTATCTGTCCACGGTTTCTGTGTCACAATTAAATATATTTGTTTTCTTCATGAGAGTGTTTCACTAAATAGGTAATTTTTCCATCTCAATTAAACGACTCCTCCAGATGAGTTGGTGTAGTTTTGTCTCTTTGTGTGCGGTGGACGACGCCTCATCTCTTGCGCTACACGTAATTTTTTGTTCGCAGCCGAAACTGGCCTCTAAAATTTATGTGTCCGTATGTTCGGGAAAAAGCAGTTTTACACAGGCGCACTCTGAATCCGTAGGATTATCATTACTAGCAGGACACCAAATATTACATTATTATTGTTAATATTGGTCGGTGAGGCAGCGTTGCAGCATTTCTTCTTGACGCCAGGCGTGCAGTCTGCATCATCCACTTCAGGCAAATTGGCTGCAAAACGAGACAAGAATCAGAACTACATCCAATATTTGCCGAGGGAAAGAAAAAAAAAACAATTACACTGCGCCTGCAGGTATATATAAAAGAGCAGATAAGGAAAGAGACGACACACAGGGTTTTTTTATTTGCTCTGGAGAAGCGCGCGGAGGATAAACTGCAAGGCCGCCGCGCCTGCATATACACAGCACATATAAAAATAAACATATATATCACGGTCTGGTGTAATAAAATTCATTTATGCTGCTCGCATGTAAAACAAGCTCGTAAAATATTTATTCATTTTCGCATGCATGTTTACGGCGGCGTAAAAACGACGGAGCAGCCAGGGCGAGCAGTAAATATTCTGAATTTCTGCACAAACAGTTCCACTGCATTAAGGGATTTGAGTGCCGAGAGAAAGAAGCCGTGGCCGCTTTAATTCACAATACGCTGCTTTAGTGGCTCTTAAAATGTCATACCAAATGTCTATTGACGTAAGCGAATTAGCGCATGCAATGCGGCACAAAACACAATCATGCACCTTTACTCTCCAGACGTGATTCCCAAAATTATAAATGATAAAAATGTATAAATAAAAACCAATAAAAAAATAAAAGTTGTAAAAATATTTTTTTTATTCATCTTTTTTTAGAAAAGTATTTTATTAACTTTTCTAAAGAGCAACAAAACAATACATTATTTTTAAGTCCCAAAAATTTGTAGCAAATGCTTGCACTTGAGTATTTATAAAATAAATGAGTATTATGAATTTTAAAATGTTTTTTAAACATTATTTATTTGTATTAAAAATGTTGTATTATTCCAGGATTTGATCCTTTCAAACACTTCCCTGAACTATTTTTTCTTTTTATTAAATAAACAAAATCTAATCTATTTGTTTGTTAATTGCTAACTCTTTAAAAAATTAAAATATTGTGTGAATATTAAAGTAAATTTTCAATCTGGTAGTGCAATGGTCAGGGCTTTGGACGTGTGACTGGAAGGTCATGGGTCCGGTTTCCGTCAGAGCACTTGTTTGTAGCCGGAAGGAATTCGGGTTTGAAAGCGAGGGGGGTCTTTGTTGAATTTGACTTGTGTGGCAAGCTTGTGACGTTTTCTGCGAAGTTGAACTGAAAACTTGGAGAATGGAGGGTGGCATTTGGAGGAGGACCATCGTCATCACCTGGCGAATTCGTGAAAAATGATACGTTTGAAGGAAACAAGTTTGGGTGGGTAAAAATAAATAAGCAGAAAGAACGAAAGAAGGACGAGTTGGAAAAAAAATTAGCCATCCTTACATGTGACACTAATGAGCTGCGGCAAATACTTTTTCCAGAAGGCACACTGTTTGAGGCGCGGCCCTCGGCCTGTGGCGGTCGAGTTCACGTCGAGCGTGAGGTACTCCCTGCCGTGGGTCGTGTGCAAGGGCCAGTACGTGGTGGTCCATGTGCCGTCTTCAGATAATGACGGATTCCTGAAACGAGAAAGCACCGCTCGTTTTAAAAATTGATCAATGCACGGAGCGACATTCCTGAATTGTCTGCTCTAATCATAATACCGCCAATCGCGTGAACGTCCTTCAAGCTCAGGCGTGAAATTTTAATGCCGAACTCGCTTCGTGTTCACGTTTTTGCGCGCGTGCACGATAATTTAGGATTAATGGTGATGCATACATAATTTATCGCTTTTTTATGTTGCGCGGCTGTGGGGCATGAAAATTACACCGCAGGCACTATATGGAAATGTTGTGCCGCGTGAGTGCAAATGAGTTTGGCACAGCCCTAAATAAATTAATATCGATTAGGAATAATTATGTGTTATAAGGATGACCAAAATAGTTGTTCACCTAAAATGGCTAAAATATATTTCCTTGAAAAGAAAAAAAACAACAATATAAATACAAATTTACGATGTTTAAGTAACCATTGAGTTATGTGAGAATGACAGCAAATTATTTATTTTGCATTTTTCTGTACAAATTTAGCGCTATTTCCACAGGTACAGCAGAGGTACAGATAATTCATTAGATAAAAAAAAATTTATTTCCCCTTATAATTTTATTAAATTATGAAGGACTGCATAACCTCCAAAAAATTTTGAAACTGAAATTTCTCACTCGTATGGATTATTATTCAACCTGAAATTTATGTTATTTGAATCTACTGTATTTGATCTATTTATTTTACATTGAAATTCATCATCAGAGTTGAAAATATTTTAAAATCGGAGTTATGCAATACGCTCGACATCTGTGGAAAACAGGTTGCCTAAGCACTTCAGCGTTTTTCAGTTTACGCTCGCTGTCACGCCACGCACATTGTTGGAAGCGAGAAGGGAGGGCATTTGTTTTTTCGGGGACAATATATTCGTTTTTTGCTTTATCTATCCATTCAAAGGCCTTTGATATGCTTTTTATTTAATTTGAGTCCCAAAGTTTACTGCAAAAAACGCCGCTCAGAAAACTTTGCAAAGGAAAACAAAACAGAGACGAGAAAGAGAGAGGACGGAGAACTTCACTTTTTTCGCCTCCGGCAAGGAAAATAAAAGCGCGTGTGTGTGTATATTGATCACGAGGGCAAAAAATGGCAACACCACCACTGCAGCGGCATGTCATGGTTAGGCCGAATAAAAGTTTGGCCTGGAAATAATTTTTTACAAAATATTGCAACGAATCTTGTTTTTTTCCCATTGTTATAAAAAAAAATTAAACAACTCACCCTGTTTTGGCAAAGTTGGCCCAGTATCTCATCACGCGTCGGCTGAGCTCGATCTCCTGCGGCTGGAACTTCTTGGCCGGATTGAGCGGCTCGCCGAAAACGTAGCTAATCTCGTCACCGTGCATCACGCCCGTCCAGCTGGGCCACGGGTTGCCGAGCGACCGGTACTGGAAATAGTACATGTACACGTTGTTGCCGGTCTCTGCGTAGCGGTGCGCCAGTTCGTTGACGTTGCACGTGAAGTGGTAGTCACCGACCATCTTGTCGAGCGCGTCGCGGTTCCTGACCGGGTCGTCAGGGTTCAGCCAGTCCGTGTACTCGAACACGATTGCCTGCCGAGCAATGTTGTTCACGTACGGATTCAACTCCTGCACCGCCTGTGGAACAGCAAATCGCTCAGTTATCATATATGTAGATAGACTTTGGAAAGAGAAATTCAAAGTTGTTAAAGATTGAAGCATAAATTTACTAAAATACATAAAACACGTGAAGTTGCTTTTGAAGGGGAAAGTTGAAGACTTATTTTTAATTGAAAAAATAGTTTTATTCTAGGTTATTAAAGAAATTTTATAAAATATATATATATGGATTCGGAATGCTTATTTTTTTAGTAAAGTAGGTGCAAATTTAAATAATGCCTGATTGATAGGTTAAATTTTTGAAAAATAAACTGAATTTCATTGATTGCCGTTATCCTAGTTAGATTTAGTAAATGATTTTATTAAATATGGACACCAAAAATAATCTTGAATCATGAATGTATACTTAAAAATCGATTCATGCACTAATAAAATGGGTTGATTTAAAAACTTTTTCAGTGCATATTATTCTATTTTTAAAACCAATAATTTTTAAACTTATCATAACGTTAATATTGAGAACAAATAGCTAAAAAGTATTCGCAAAAGTTTGAACATAAAATAATAAAACTGAATAGGAGCTTTGCATTTTTTATGCAAAATCTACCGTGTGTAATAGCAAAAAAATTATTCATAATACATATTATTTTTTAAATTATAAAAGTAAGCAGTTATAATCAAATTTAATTGAAAGTATTTAATTGCTTTCATTTTTCAATTTTTCAACGAGAATTATATTTAACATTCGAATATATTTTAAATATTTTTCTAATTTTTGTGTGTGCTTGTAATGTAAAAATTTTAATAAGAACTATAAAAGCGCGCATGATATTATTAATTCAATTATTGGATATATTAAATTCAAAATGTGCATAGCATATAAGTTGATAAAAGTTTAAGATTATAATTAGCGATTTCAATAAAGAGCTCACATATTTTTATGAAATAATCAAAATTGAAGAGATTAAGTGCAAAATTACACACCAGTTACAATGAAAACAAATATTGGTTAAAAAGATCATTATTTAATTTTGAAGTGCTGAAGTTTTTTTTATTAAGTTCAATATCAAAATTTGACTAACCTTGAGGAACTCGTCCCTGTTGACGTAGACGCTCTCCTCCTTACGGAAGAGCTCGGTCAGGTAGTAAATGATGAAGTAGTAGCCCTCCTCGGTGTTGCTGCCCATGAGGATGTTGGTCTTCTTGAAATTCTTGTTAGCCAAGGAGCGCGCGGGCTTCTCGTCGAGGAAGGCGCCGTCGATGATGGGCACGAACGGGAACTCGCAGATGCCCATCGTGCCCCACTCGTTGTTGACCAGGTCAGTGGCGTTGACCGTGCGCAGGCACTCGACCGTGGCCTGCAAGTTGCTCTTCGAGTGCGGACACCCGACTGCCTCGGCCAGTCTGAGCCCGCGCAGGACACTCTCCTCGCGGCTGATGATGGCCCAGGGCGCCGTCGGCGACCCACTCTGCATGATGGCCTGGTTGAAGAGGTGCCTGCTCAGCGGACTGAGCAAGTGCAGACTGACCGAAACGGCGCCGGCCGACTCGCCAAACAACGTGATGTTGTCTGGGTTGCCTCCAAAATTCTTAATGTTGTCCTTGACCCACTGCAGCGCCATCAGCTGGTCGAAGAGGCCGGCATTGCCGGGCACGTCTGCACAGTCAAAGAAGATGAAGCCGAGCGAGGCGACGCGGTACTGCATGCTCACCAGGATGACGTTCTCCTCGGCCACCAGGTTCTTGTGGTCGTACACGTCCAGGGTGGAAGTGCCCGAGTAGAAGCCGCCGCCGTAGACCCACACCATGACGGCGGCGTTCTTGGGACGCGGTCGCGGCACCACCACGTTCACGTACAAACAGTCCTCACTGAGTTGTGTGTTCGGATTCCACACGGCCGAGCCGGCGAAGTCGCCGAACACCGTGTCCACGATCTGGACGCAGCTATTGGGCATCTTGTCAGTGGTGAGGACGTAGCCGTCGCGGTCCCACCGCTCGATGGGCCTGGGGTGGCGGAAGCGCAGATTGCCGATCGGCTTCTGTGCGTACGGGATGCCCAGCCACGCATCCACGGTCTTGCCCGAGCTCGAGTGCAGCGTGATGCCGCGCACCTTGCCCTTGGTCGTCGATACGACGAGCGGGTCACCCTCGAAGTGCGGCAACGCGCCCGACGCCAGCAGCGGCCACAGCGCCAGCCACACGGCTGCATAACCCATCCGCCGCTCAACCTTCGCCCCGCCAGCCATCTGCGTTGCCAGGGATTTCTGAAAAACACACAATTCCAACCGTCAAAACTTGCCATTTTTCAATATTATTTTTGCAATATTAAAAAACAAATAATCTTTCTTTTAAACTCAAAATCAAAATTTTCATAATTGAACAGAAATTGAACTTTGTTTTCAATTTTTTTTTTTATAAAAGTTCTCAAATTTCTAGTATAATCTCTAAATTTAAATGAATAATAATGGAAACTTTCGGTTTCTCTGGCTCAGCAACCAATATTGTTTGACGTTAAACTCTTCAGAAAAAAATCTAATTATATTCCCGAACTGATCAGCGACTGGTTTTGGAATGATGCTCTGCTTTTGCTGCTTTAATTTTTATACTCGCTCCACACCAGTAGCCTTACTCTCGTGTCCATAGTTAGGATGGAACCGGTTTGGCGATATGATTGGAAACATTTATTTAAAATGACTATGAGAGAGGAGGCGACCGTCAAACAATTTTACTGGAGATTTCGTGCATACTAAAATGCAATTAAATTAAACATAGTTCTTTAACATAAAAAATGTCTATTTGTACAATCTGCACACGGTAAACGAAGTATCTTTTTAAATGTAATTATATAATTGGAGTGTAAATTAACTTTGGATACGACCTTTAAATTGAATAGACCTTGGCATAATATATCAAGTTCTCCCGTGCGGTCTTTCAAATTATCATTCATCGCCTGAGGAAACGGCACAGATCAGCACGAAAAGATTAGGCGTCTCACAATAGTTGTCCTACAACTAATGTAACTATGTATTTAAAATTATAAAAACTAGTCCTGAAAATAATATATAATTATTTTTTCTTCATTATACGTTAGGTCTTGAACTTGCAATTAAATTCATCCGATTTTGAGCCACTCTCGATTGAAAATTTAAATTCATGCATAATTCTTATTTCTCTCTTTTTGCAGAACAACAAAAATGCAACACCGGCGCCGAGTGGCCTTTATCCCCCACCCCTATTCTTTCGAAACGGTCACTGCCATAAAAATTAACGCCCCGGGTCAGGTGAAGTGCAGATTGTCGCGAGTGCGCGGCGCGCTTCCGAGCCGGAGCAGCCGAGATTTGATCGTGCTGCGCGAAATTGGAGTGCCCGCGTGTGGCCTTGCGCGTCGGATTCCGTCCGGTGCGGTGGTGCATTGTGATAAAATTGAAGTGCCCTCTCCACGCTCACTGGGCATAATGTGTGTGTTGCGAGAGCGGCGGCCAGGTGATCAATACTTGCGGTGGGCACTCCGTTTGGGGTCAGGTTCCGACCCACCGGCTGCCAGAGTGACATTTCGCCGAATCCATTGTGGCAGTGCGAAAATGGATACTCGCGGCTCTAGATTTGATATTGTTCATGGAAAAGACTAAATTGATTTAAAATTTAATATTTACTGCAATGCAATTTATTAAAGTTATTCCCAAATAAAACACAAACCATCACCCAAATTAATTTAGATTATTTTTGCTACATCCGCCTAAATATAAAAGTATTTGCAATGCACTGAGAGTAAAATTAAGGCCAATTGCAAAATGCATTTAAATCTTGAATATTTATTCTTTAAATTAACATTCATTAGCTTAAATGAAGAGGATGAAAGCCCACTTGAGATTACTTCCGTAGTTAAATGTACAGGTTTCGACTTAACTTTTCAGCCAAATATAAAGAAATTGACATTATAAAACATAAGACCTATTACCTATTAAAAAAATATCATTTTGAGTATTTTTTTTTGTAATAGAAGCTGATTCAAATTTCTATCTTTAGATGAAAAATTTAACCAGCGGGTATAAAAAATTAATTTTAGCTTAAATATAAAATTCAAATAAGAAAACGATAAAACTAATTAATTAACAATTCCCTTGAAAAAAGTTTCCTGTCTTTATTTATTTCATTTTTCACTACCCGCGGAGCGAAACGATATTCCCTTTTTTTAAACAAAACAAGGATCGGCACTCTCTTCTCCGACGGACGCATCAACTTGAATTTATTTTGGGACCAAAGTGAGCCAGATAGATTCATCATTATTTCAGTGTTTGATGGATTGGCAGCTCCGTCGGAGAGTGAGATGATTTCGCTGACCGGTCGACCGAGTGTGGAGGAGGAGCAGCGATTTGGCTTCCAGAGAGGATCAGCACAAGTTTGTGGTTTTGACTGGATCACTTCGGGGGCCCGAATTGGACGGACGGAGATTTATCCTCTAGGTGGATTAGATTTCTATTTCTGTCGACCTGCAATTGGCATGCCGAGTGGGCGTTCTCGTTTTCCTCTGCCCGGGATTGTGTAAAAATAATTCATTGCTAATCCAACGGATTTTGTGTTTCGCCTGATTGCAAGCGGGGTAAAAATAATTCAATAATCGGTGCCGCCGAAAAATTGCCCGGCCAGTATAATAACTTGATTAAGCACACAATTGGCCCTTGGCCGGCGACAAAGCAAAATAGTGTCATTAGGCGCACACGGGCGGCACATCACACAGAGATATCATCAGATATGAAAGCTCCGTGGCCCGCACATTTAGCGCTGGCTACAGTTCAAGTGTTGGCTAATTAAATGACCTTGACCTGCCACGCAATCGCCGCTTCAGACGAGGTTTGCCGTCAACGGCGCAAATCCCAACTGCAAAAGCGGGCTACATTTATATTTAGATGCTGGTTTGATATAAGAGTATTATAGAAATTTAAACTTGCAATTTATTAAATTAAATAGTAAACAATAACAATGCAGTGTTAATTTTATTAATACTTTCTGTATAATTAACTATTTATTATGTAGTATCGTTTTTCCATTATCATTAATAAATTTAAGTTGTATTATTAATAAAACCTATTATCTATTATCTACTAATTATGTTATTATGTAATTTTTAAATTGTTTTTGAAAATTTTTTAGCCAAACATATTAAAAAAAATACATGATGTGAATAAAACTTTAAAAAAATTATAAATTTAATTTTCTGATCAATCATTTATAAAAAAAAGCATACTATATGTATTTTAATAATTAACTAGTTCAATTTGATATAAAAAAATACACACAGAACAGTATTGGTTGCATTTTTTAGGAGAAAAAAATATTGCCTCACTTTCCTTTTCTACGAAAGCAAAAGAAAGTTTATTTATAGGATTGAATTACAATTCATGTTTAGCTCTCCCAAAAGAATAAGGGACTCAATAAGCAGAATGGCAATAATTCAAGATTATATTTCCTAAGAGTTTCCAATCTTATTCGAGGAGAATTTATTACAATGGTCGCTAGTAAGAGGGAGGTCTAACAGTTTGGCCCTCACGCGCAACGTTGCTGCAATTGTTTCAAACTACCTTTGGGGAGCATTTTGGCCGGAATTTATGACCGGCGTCGCTATAAAGCAAATGAATTTTTAATCATTACCTTACTGAGGGTGCATGTGTCCTATTGGGGGTGGGGCGGGTAGAAGAGCCGCAGTCACGCGAGTCTCATCATGTTACTTAACTCTGCACCTGTAACACACAGCAAAAGCCATTTGAATATTCTCCACGGCGTTTACGCAGCAACGCGACCTACAAAACTTTGTCGTGCAAACTTTCACCCAGGATTTTGCAAGTGAGCGAATTAAGTAAGTCTCTAATGACCGGGCACCAAGTGTGTAATTGTGCAAATAAATTATGCGTTAAGGTCATTAACAGATTTAGTTTAATTTAAATGGGGAACATTAAAAAAATCTTTCAAATCAAATGAAACTAATAATTTCAAAAAAAAAAAAATTGGTTTCAGCAAAAGTTTTTTTAATTGACGAGAAAATTTAAAAAATATTAAAATCCTGCATGTAAAAATAACAAGAAACAATGTAGAGTTGGAACGCTAGGAAACACGCGTCGCGAGAATTGTCCTACGTGGAAACACATCATAATATAATCCATTCTGGCAGGCGTGATTTTAAAGGCCCGATAAACGAGAGCGACGAGTTTTATCAGCGGCAGGCAGGTTCAAGACAAAGCCTCGACCGACCAAGTTTTAAAGAGTTTCACGCAAAACTTTGCTTTGCTTTAAGCAGAGCAAACTTTGCTCGGTAATTCGATTTCTGAGAGAAGGGCGTCGCGATTTTCTATTAAAATTCATAATTGGAAAATATCGCGCTGGTGGTTAATATATTCCTTACTTGTGATATGCATAAAAAATAAAGGTTGTGTGCGTTTTTTTTTCAATTAAAAATTCTCGATGATTATGTTTTTGATTCCAAAGAGGCAAGCAAAAGACCTTCCCAGAAATTAATTAAATGACACGCGCCAACGACTTAGAATAATTAGCTTGTGCGATGAGGATTTAAAATTAAATGCAAAGCATGCAAGCAAACGTTGACCACTAATAAAGCTTTGTTTGCCGGCGCAAAATTTGAGAGCTCTCCTTTGATCAGCGAGCCGGAAAATTGCGAATAATACTTGGGAGCATTTGGCCTCCACGCCTTAAATCTCTGGTGTAATCACTTTCTCTCTCACTCTCAATGGAAACTTTGCCCGGCTCAACTTGCCACCACTTCGGCGAAACTCTCCGCCAAATATTCCCGTCAAACCTCACTTTTGAGGCTTTCACGGAAAATTAATTTTCCTCTTCCGAACGAGTTAACCCGATGAATGCAGAAATTCGCCTGAAGTAATTTAAATTTCGATCGGTTTTATTTTTTCGAATGAAAATAAACTTTGATTTACACTCTCCGTGTACTTGTTGTTGTCGACAAACAAAGGGAAAAACGAGTCGGAATACCGGCGGGTGAGCGGCGGCGTCCTCGAGCTCGTGAGAGTTTATTGCCGGCGATGCAGATGTTACCATGCAGCAGATCGAAGGCTGTAACCAACGGTGCCAGCAACCATATCACAAACCGCACTTGACATTTCCACTGCATTTGCATACTCTGTATCCCGAGAGTGAGCGGGTCACACAATAGGAATGTGCAACATTGTGCTATTTGTGTACCCCACAGTTTTCACGTGTGCTCAATATATAAATGCTTGTATGCACATCAATCGCAAGTTTTGTTGTGGGAATAACTTAAACTGTGATAATGTGATTGACATTGCACGCTTTGATTCACATTGACCTTCATCCGTGGAAAGTGAAAACCAAGCCGATGGGATACAAAATTTGTTTTAAAAATAGCATTAAAATAATAAATAAAAGAAACGATCTTAATTTTTGAAATGAATATTATTATTTTTATACGAGGAACACACCCCTGACATTCTTTATTCAAATAGAAAAGCTCAGTGCGAATTATTTTTCTTTTTGAAATATTATTATTGTTGATTATTTATCCACATTGTTACAATATATTGTTTGCATTAAATTTTTGAGAACAGTTTATTTAAAAAAAGGAATTTCTAAATAGAAATGTTTCACCTCTTTTTAACAATTATGGCAGATTTATAATACAAAAATAGTGAAACCTCATTCATAACTTAATTAATTAGGCATAGATCCGCACTTTGATAGGAAATTAATCCACTTTAATATCGTAATTACCTTGTTTTTTTACCTTCAGGTTAATCACCACGGCACCTTAATCGTAGAGAAGCGTCTATTCCGGTAACGACAGAACTACTAAATAATAATGTTTCAGTGCCAAAAATTGTTCTGAGGTATCAGCAGCTGCCAAGGCCGCAGTTGTGTTTGCACTATAATTTAAAAACAAATGAAGGAGGAGGAAATTTATTGTGGTAAGCTTGAATCCCCACCTCAAGATTGTTAATGCCGATTCTAGGATCTAGGGCCAAAAATGTTACCGGTTTTCGCTAACGACATGCCGGCAGCTTTTTAGGAGAAGGAGCGTCAGTGCGCGTCAAACTAGATTTGAGTTTGGAGCTCATAATGTTTTAATAACACATGATCATTAAGAAATATGCTTGGATGGAATTTTATTATTAGTAATAAACTAATTCAACTATAATTTCCTGCGTGGATAATTTTGCCTAAAAAAAATTATTTAAAACTTTTCATAAATTTTAAAATAATAATAAACCAATTATAAAATAGTTTGAATTTCAATTAACAAAATCTAGATATTATCCCATTCCAGTTCTGTTGGCCCCTGCTATTCCCTTCATCCACTTTTGGAGTGCCCGCACCATAATAAAATTTGAACGCATTTCTGCTGCATTTTATGCGTGTGTGGAGATAAATAAAATTTAATAACAGGCGCTCTCAAGTCGCGTTTACCCAGGAGCGGCGCGCGGGCCTTGATATAAAGTGCCCTTTTCGCTAGCAAGAATATTTATTGAGACGCTTGGCTGGCAAAATAAACAAACCGGAGGGAGGAAATATAATAAAAACAGCCACGCCAGCGAAATGCACGCGCGCTTATATGCGGAATGTACATGCATGAATAATCGAATAAAAAGCAGCGTGCATCCTCATTCGCAGCCGTCGTAAATTGGGTTACGCGTCCTCGTAGCATGCAGGCTTATCTTCTTGTGCCCAAAACGCGGGCAAAAATGGCCGCATGTGTTTAATTTTATTTCAAAGAAGAGAGAAAGATATATAATTCCCATCAAAAATTATTTTCAATAGCGATGCAAAATAAAATTATTAAACAACTAAACTGGTATATAAAACAAAACCTTATAAAAAAAATTAATTTTAGTGTTTTTACCTTGCTGCGCAGCTAATTTTCAGTCGAAAAGTGAATATGATGATGATTCAAAAAAGTAAGATTTTTTAATATTATTTATTATCGCATTTCTAGATTGCAAAGGAAAAATTCTGAGCTAAACAGAAAATTTTAAAAATCAAAATTTTTAACTTCTCATTTTTAAGGGAAGTAAGATTTCTTGGATTAAGGAGTTTTATCTTTGGGCATATAATTAGCAATAAACCTGACATAACTCTTACTCCCACCTTTAGCTGTTCCCCATTATCTATCACAGTCCGTGGCGTCGTTTTAATTGTCTCCTCTGCAAGCACAAAGCTGCTATGTATTTTTTATCGTGCCGCCCCATATCTGTGGGAAGCTAACTAATGTTAAGTGAGGTCAAATGCGTGACTATTTACTTATTAACCCCCCTGAGCCACCCCTGGCTCGCTCTCCCGGCCAGCCGGCGTTTTCGGAACGGCTCGCTCGCTGCTTGTAATTTCTGTCACGCAAGCCGAGGAATTTTTGTTATCATCTGCAACAGCCATTATAATGAAAAGCCCTTTCATTACGGCTTTTAATTGTGTCTGCAGTTTTTTCCACTCCTCCTCGCGGGCATTTACGACCGAATTTCCACCCAAGGCAACTCCGTGTATACTGCAGCACGCTCCTCATTCAATTACGGCATGCAGATTCTGGCGCGGACTTAATTTTATGGCTCTTGTACTATGTACTTTGCTAGAACTTTTGAGGCTTTCCTTATCGGACGCTTGCGACTTGCGACGCGAATCGGTCCACGCGAAATTGCTTTTTCGTCAGCTTGTGTGTGATATACGGCGGTAATTTTCATAATGGGGGTCTAATTTTTAAATTGCGAAAGTAACGACCAGCCGTTAAGAGCTGATCTAGATTTCTGACTATTTGCATAAATGGAATTGCTCACGATGCGAACTTTGATTAGATCGCACTGGCATGAACTGAAGTAAACATCATAAATACGTGCAGGATAAAAGGCAAATTAAAAAAAAAAAAAAATTAAAATCCATAACAAATTTATTTTAGTTTCAAAGTATGTCTATTGGGTTCGACAAAGGGCAACTTTGCCCCAACACGAACTCATCCAAATTAATTGACAAAATAAAAATTTTAAATAAGAGAGAAAGAAAACATTAATATTAATCAAATAATTTTACTTTGGCTTATTTTTTTTTCAGAAATGATTAGTGGGCTTGAAATATAATTAATACTTTTTTAATGTTATAAATATCTAAAAACGTCTGCATAATGACAGGTTTTATGCAACCAAACCTACTTTTTTACCTCATGGAATTTTCAGATTTCTCTATTATTTTATTTGATTAAAAGAACATGACTTGATTTTTGTTAAATTTTTTTTCTGAATTTAACTTTTGTTCACGACTTTAGTACAATATACAGATTTTAATTTAAAAAGAGTAGAGTTGATCTTGTTGTTTTAGGATTAAATTGCAACTCATGGCCCAAATTGGGTGATCCCCCAATGTAAACAAAAGTCTCTGGATCCATTTTGGCGGTTTCCTTGAAAGCAAATTAGTCTGAATCCAACGTAATTAAGTGGCGCTCGGCCCGGCTTCTCGTCGTAATTTATGCCAGTGGCAGAAATTAAACGCGCAGCGGAGACGCGAGTGTGACATTTTTAGGCTGCAGCAGTTGATTAGGCAATTAAGACTTTTAATATGCGCGAGAGAGCAAGAGAGCGGCGCGGAAAGTTTCTTTGGGCCCTCCGCAGCACGCCCAAGCTGCTGCTCCTTAAGTGGCGCACGGAATGACAACAACAAGATGACGAATGAAAAATTGTGTGTGTGCCGCGAGGAAAGGGGGAGTCGTGCCGCTGCTACT